GAGTCTATCACTCAATTTGGCCATTACCACCCATCCTTCGTTTTCGATTCAAGGGATCGCCATCGGTGGTTAACTCCTCAATATCATACCATATCGCTTATATGCCCCCCTGGCAGGAGAGGGAACTAGGAAACCGGCTATATAGTTGGTTTTGTGCTAAGTTCCAAGAAAATTACATTTAGATCTAAGGTTATGTTAGGGTTTTGGGTTAATGGTGAGGTTGAGGCTGAGATAAGGAAGTATTTGTCGTTCGCAGAATTTAACGCAGAGCCAACTTATTAGGCGGAACTTTCCTATACCCGTGTCCTGCCAGAGGCCAGGTCTTGAACAAAACCCTCTTTCTTGGCCAAATAAACCTGAACAAAAGAGACACCGATTTTTGTCCCGACAGAATGGGTGGTGGGTGCTTTGGCTGAACTAACAAATAGAAATCTGAAAGGTCAGGACGCACATGTTTAAGTCTTAACTCTGACCTCTCCCAAGTTTTTCGGGATGCTATGTCATGCTAATTAAACGACAAATTAAAATGTTAACACAGTAGTAACAGAGAAAGTGGGACTGAAAAGCTAGATGTTTTGGTAGACCAGTTCGCTCAGAATGCTGTAAGACGCGCAAATATTTAAACAACTGCTTTAAAGTGTCCGTCTATTGCATTTTTTGTGTCAAGTCCGGCGAGCATGTGTTCTATTTCAGCCCCATTTAACCTGTTTCTACACCAATTATTAAAAGTTAGCAAAAGGTCGTAAGTTCACGGGTCTGAAGAAAGGAAGTCTGAGAGCTTACCTGTGGCACTGCAACGGAACATTCGCGTATCAGCGTCTGCTGTGGGCACCTCAAAAACGCCTACTTTGAAGGGTCCAGCTGAAATCCGGAGAAGGGATTGGCCACTTTAGTTCAAATAGGCCATATGTTTATAAAAACAAAACAATCCGTGGGAAAAAAACAAAAGGCCAAAACGTTGACGCAACTGCTCCGATATGATTAATATCTTAGAGCCCTCTGTGTAGAATTCATTAAACGGGGAAAATGTCAATGTTGGTTACCACAGTTGAGAGCGCACGAGACAGTTCTTGACCTGCTGTTATTTATTATTTGTGCAAACACTCACCATCTTCGCATTTGGGTCCGATTGCAAAGTACCGGCTATAGTATCTGGCACTGTTGCCCGCCTTCCTGGCTACAACGCAGCGGCCGAGGAGCGTTGCCTTCTGCTCCAGTAACTTTCGGAGTCGCAGGGTGTTTCCAGACTCCTGGACAGACTCTGCGAGGATGCCGGCCATAGGAACTCGGTGGCCATTCCGAAGACTGACTTCCCAACCGTATAATAAGTCGTCCTTGCCTTCATCAGTTCCTAGTTAAAAAGGAAATTATAAAAATGGAAGACATGTCCGTAGTCAGGTGGCTGGCACTTAACGCTGCATGATTCGGCCTGTAACTTACCTCTATCTCTGCAAATTAGTGTTACATCTTGTCCCGCTGTAACTGGCAAAGTGTGGCATTTACTTAAGCCCAATACGACGGGCGTCAGGACCGGCAGTTGTACAACTTCTTCGCGAGAATCTAAAACAGAAAAACTCTGCTAGATATTGGTGTAGCCAAACCTATTAGAGTTCCGTAGTGCTCAGGTACCTCTACTAAAGCTGTAAAATATACTGTCAAAGTAATGCTAAGAACTGAGAAGTGCATTGACTGCGGACGCCTCCCTTGCTAAGCGTATATTGGACGAACCTTCGCGGGCGGTGCCATCCTCGACCACTATGATAAGAGGTGACACGAAACGTTGTCTTGATGGTTTTCGTAGCTGACCACGAGGTAACCCCTCGTCGGGAACCTCATCGTCAGGCGAGAGGGTGATTCGCTCAGCTACCACACGAAAACGCAGGTCACCTTTCTTCGGCTCGTCCATATCACCTCGATAACCGTTCAGTATTATCTTCCCTGTTCGAGAGTCAATCTGGACATGGTCAGCAAGAGCATTAATAGGAGCGGGACTTCCGTCAGTGTATTGCGCCTCAATACCGAAGAATATTCTGCCAGCGGCATCCTCCTTTGGCACCTGTTCTCCAGTCTTTTCATCTGAAAGTTCGGAACAATATCATCGTGAAAATTAAGCTTCTGTAAAAGTGTAAGACTACTTATGGAGCTCTTACTTAAAGCCGCAATTCAGAAAGGCCGACAGCAAGCCAAGAGGCCAAAAGGTATGTTTCGGTAACGCGTGCACAGTACCCGTAGAAGCCGCTTTCATTGATCCACTATGACAGTTGGTCAAATCTGTTTTGCCTCGGAAGTCGAGTCCCGGAGTTCAAGTGGGCGCTCACTTACCCGCGAGTGCTCAATGGTCGGCAAAAATCGCGAACAAAATTGAACTCAAAGATGGTTTCTTGGTTTCCGAGCGCTAAGTTAAACTTTCTACCTTAGGTCAGGGGACTGGCATCCTACCATTTACGATAAGCAACATTCAAAGTCAAACGAGAGTAGCGTTCACTGGTCTAATACACGTGGAGGTTGTGTTATGGCTGGTAAACGGTGAGAATTAAACCAGAAATGACCATAACAGACTTCAATGTCTTCATCGGTAACATTTTGCCACTAATCCCGTGGACGAAGTTTAGTTGTCGAACGTTTATAAGTCTAATCGCATGAGGATAGTCCTACCCTTTTCTTAAAGACTGCATGGGCAAGTTCACTAGTCGAAAGGCTGGTGCTCACAGATTTGCCTGAAGTTCACAAAGCCTACAGGTTTTTTCTTGGAGTGTCTAATGCTGTTCGACTTAAGTACAGCCCCGACACCTTGTCTCCTGTTCAATAAAATTAGTAATTTCATCGAAATCGTTCAAGGTGTACGGTTTTGGAGGTGGCAAACAGAATTGTTCTCAAAAACACCTTCTAGGTTCGGTGAATATTAGAATATGAAAAACGCTTTGAAAAGTTGCATTTTCATACAACGACCTTGCATCAAGTCATCTGTACTTGATGTACAACATCGGAACTCACCAACTAGTTGCGCATCAAGAACGACGTTTGAACCTGTAGTCGCCGACAGTTTCCCATCTGGACCGAGGCCTCCGACTACCACCGTGTACTTTCGTTCTGGATCAGCTTCTGGAACTAAACTCGCAAAAAACCTCAGGTGTCACTTCAGAAGACAGCAAACAAAGTAAGAAAAAGTATTTTAAACAGTAATTGGCTTAAAACGTACCCACACTCAATTCATAGGCCCCACTAAACCTAGGTTCTTTATCTGGTTTCTCCGTCGGTTTGATGTCGAAGAACACGGGTTGACTGTAGATTAGCTCGCCTGGCTTCAATGGGCCTGGTTGACCGTCCGCAACAGCCGTCCTATTGGTAACTATGCACTGGACCTGAACGCCAGAAGCTGTGTCTCGAAGACCATTCAAACGCAGAGTGCTTCCATTCGGCTGTTCTGAGATCTCCAGTTCTTCTGCCAAAGAGGAAGTGTCAACTGGGAGGCTGTCTTTCCGTTGGAGTTTCCACTGGTAGTTTAAGCCCTCAACTGAAGTCATCGTTTTGAGGTCTAAAGGCGGGAAGGGGTGGATTTGTAAGCTGGTGTAATCGTGGAGAAAAAAGACAACACTACCCGACAAATTCCTATATCGAATATACCTCAATGACGTTTAACAAAAAGACCTATACTCAGGTCTCACTTAACTGGG